CGAGATACATATATGTATACACAAAGTGTACCCTAACCCTAACCCTAAACATACCTCATATAAAAATATAAACATAATACTAAACAACCTAAAACTACCTCCTAATTATATAAAAATATAAACATAATACTAAACAACCTAAAACTACCTCGGGTACATATCTGTAGTACCTGATACGACAACGACCCCCATCTGCGATAGTTAGTATAGACTATACTGGACAGTCCGTAAGGAATAAACGTCCAGGCCTATAGCTAGCCATGGGGTGTGACCTAGCTTGGGTACAGCCAGGTAGTTAGCCTTTTAGCCAATTCTTATAATTATATAGACTATACATGCCAGACTACTGAGTGATACATTATGACACACGTTTACATCACGTGTAAAACGGCCCTTGCGCCAGTTGCGGATACTGCCATTTTACTGGGATAGATACAAATATATATAACCCAATAGAGTATATATATCACCTGTTAGTCTGGCTGAGAGGGTCTATGTCCCCCATGGTACGGTCCGGTATACCGGAACGTACCCTGGTACTATCTAATATGCCGGACCGTACCTCGCCTACTCCACTAACGAGTAGCTGAGCTAGTAATAGATGGACATTTTCCTTTCCTCCATTGTTAGGTAGTTTACTAGCATCATGCCATGATACGACTGATGATTAGACAGTTGTAATAAATATTTGGCATGGACAAGATAATTGGAAACAATTTGTTAGTGTGCTGTATTTGTTACATCGTCATTTTTCTCTGACATATCAATATAAGAAATGTCTACAAGTGTTCATGTTTATTTACAGGCCAGTTTGCAAGTTTTATGTGAAGAACACTAAAGTTCCATTTGAGGAGGACCATTTCCATGAGTTTAAAGGACATCGCAACTTGTGTGTGGAGGATCTACCACACTGGTGCTACACTTCCTCTGATAAACGCAGTCGGAAACCAATATCTAGGTGATTATCAAAATGATGATTTGTCGATTGTGTCTATAAGCTATCATCTGAGAAATTCTTAGCCATTTCAGATAGTAGAGAGGCATGGACCAGAAATTAGGATTTAAAAATCATTGAGAGGTAGAGAATGGCATCCACCCTAGGTAGTTAGTACATGGGTTGGGGCACCTGGCTAGGTAGGATGCCATCAAAGTTTTTTTCAAATAAGGCCCTTTTTAACCCTTTTTCTGCTGAATTGCAATTTTTCCAAAATCCGATCATTTTAGCCATAATGTAAAGGAAAATGCTCATGGAATGCTCAGTTTTTAGAGTATAAGGTTTATTCAACACTCAAAATAAAGCTCTTGATCTGCTTGACGTGACAGAATAAT